GTGTCAAATTTATTGGCATATAATTGTTCATGGTATTCTCTTACGATCTCATCTATTTCTGTGGCATCAGTTGTCATATCCCTTCTTTCATTTCTGATTTTGAGACCTCCCTTTCTCTCTCTCTTCTTGGTGAGTATAGGTAAAGTTTTGTCAATTTTGTTCATCTTTTCAAGGAACCAGCCCTTGGTTTCATTGATCTTTTCTATTATCTTTTTGGTCTCTATTGCATTTATTTCTGGTCTGATCTTTGTCATTTCCTTCCTTCTACTATCTTTGCATTTTGTCCCTTGAGGTATAAAGTTAGGTTGTTGGAGATGTTTTGTTTCTTGAGGAAGGCATTTACTGCTATGCTACATCCCATAAGTTTGGGTACGTTGTATTTCCATTTTCATTTGTCTCGAGGTACTTTTTTTCATTTGTATTAAGTTTTTAATTTTAATTCCAGTATAGTTGACATACAGTGTTATATTAGTTTCAGATATACAATATAGTGATGGAACAATTATTTTAAAAAAAATTTTTTTTAATGTTTATTTCTGAGAGACAGAGTGTAAGCGGGGGACGAGCAGAGAGAGAGGGAGACACAGAATCTGAAGCAGGCTCCAGGCTCTGAGCTGTCAGCACAGAGCCCAATATGGGGCTCGAAATCATGAATCTTGAGATCAATGCCTGAGCCGAAGTCTCAGTGGCTTAACGGACTGAGCCACCCAGGCACCCCTAGTGATTCAACAATTCTATACATTACTCAGTGCTCATCATGATAAATGCAAGGTACATTTTGATTTCTTCTGATTTCTTTTTTTTTTTTTTTTTTTTTTTTTTTTTTGACTGGTTGTTTTAAGTAGCATGCTGTTTTATCTCCACATATTTGTGAATTTTCCAGCTTTATTCTTATAGTTGATTTCTAGTTTTGAACTATTTTGGTCAGAAAAGATGCTTGATTATATTTCAGTCTTTATTAGGACTTGTTTTGGGGCCTAACATATGATCTGTCCTGGAGAATGTTTCATGTGTACTTGAAGAATATTAGTTCTGCTGCTTTTGGGTGGGATATTCTCTAGACCAGATGAATTTAATAGGCATCTAACGTATCATATAAGGCTGATGTTTCCTTATTGATATTCTATCTGGACGATCTATCCATTGACGAAAGTGCAGTATTGAATTCCCCTACTATTGTTATATTGCTGTCTGTGTCTCCCTTTAGGTCTGTTACTGTTTGCTTTATATATTTAGGTGCTTCTACATTGAGTGCATAAATACCTACAACTCTTCTATCATCTGGTCGGATTGACCCCTTATCATTATATACTGCCTGTCTTTGTCTCTTCCTACAGCATTTGTTTTAAAGTCTATTTGTCTGGTATGAGTATAGCCACACCAGCTTTCTTTTGGTTTCCATTTGTATGGAGTATCGAATATCTCTCCCCATCCTTTCATTTTCAGCCTGTGTGCATCCTTATATTTGAAGAGAGTCTATTGTAGGCAGCAATAGATGGGTCTTTTTTTTTTTTTTAATTGTTTCAGCCACTGTCTTTCAGTTGGAGAAGCTAATCCATTTACATTTAAAGTAATGATTGATAGGTATATAGTTACTGCCATTTTGTTTTGTTATTTGTTTTCTGGCAGGTTTCCTTTTCACTGTTTTCTTTTGTGATTGGATGACTTTCTTGAGTGGTATGCTTAGATTTCTTTATCTTTGGTGTATCTACTATAAGGTTTTGCCTTGTGGTTATCATGAGGCTGACACATAACAACTGATAATTTATAACAGTATAAATTTACAACTTAAGTTTGAATGCATTCTAAGGCTCTACATTTTTACTCTGCTCCCCACCCCCACGTTTTATGTTTTTAATGTCATATTCTACATCTGTTTATCTTGTGCATCTGTTAACTGTTGTAGTCAACAGTTAACCTTCACGCTAGCTTTAGTGGGCGATCCACCATCTTTACAAATTTCATCGAAATTGTATGATGTATTTACCTTTTACCAGTGAGATTTATATATATATATTTTTAATTTTTTTAACGTTTATTTATTTTTGAGACAGAGAGAGACAAAGCATGAATGGGGGAGGGTCAGAGAGAGGGAGACACAGAATCTGAAACAGGCTCCAGGCTCTGAGCTGTGAGCACAGGGCCCGACGTGGGGCTCGAACTCACGGACCGCGAGATCATGACCTGAGCCGAAGTCGGCCGCCTAACCGACTGAGCCACCCAGGCGCCCCGAGATTTATATTTTTATATTTGCTACTTTCTTATATTTTCTGTCTCTTTTTTGAAGTTCTCACTGTGTTCATCCATGCTTTTCCTGAGTTTGGTGAGCATCTTTATGACGATTATTTTGAACTCTATCAAATAAATCACGTATCTCTGGTTCATTAATGGTGAGGGAGCATGGGGCAAGCTGAGGGCGAAATACAGGCTGGTACCCACTCCCACCCCCAACTCCAGGTGGGATATGTGTGATATCCTCGGACATTCCTGGCTACCTAAGAACAAAGGAAAGGGGTTTAAGTGCCTGCCATGTGGGAAACTAAGGCAAAAATGAAAAATTAAATTCCCTTCCTGCCTATCGCCCATTGACAAGTCCTTGAGACCTGCAGAGTGACCTTTCCTCTAGGAGCTCAGCTACCTCAAGATGACACTTTGCCGGGGACAAAAGAGAATCTTAGCTTAACATTGTCCCAACCTCAAAGATCCTGTAAGTCTACTTCCTTTATCTCAACTCCCCTAAGATATATGCTGGCAATCATACTCCAAGCTTATGGCCCCCTGATATACATCTAAAAACATGACTGAGGTTTTATTAAGTGGTAGTAAATGGCATTTCCCTAGCAACAGCTAGCCCCTCAAGATCCTGGAAACCTTGCCTCCAAAATTCCATAAAGACTTACTTCCATAGACACCCTGATCCCCTCCCAACCTGAGGGTATATAATGAGTTACTTGTCACGACCCTAGTGCAGCTCTTCCTGCCCATGGGTCCTGTCCCCATGTTTAATAAAATCACCTCTTTGCACCAAAGAGGTCCTCAAGAATTCTTTCTTGGCCGTTGGCTCTGGACCCCATGAACCCCCCATCACCCCAAAACTTCATCAGTTAAGCACTTCTTCAAGGTTTTATCTTGTTCTTTCATTTGGAACAGATTCCATTTTCTTCATTTTCCTTGACTCCCTGTGTTGGTTTCTATGCATTAGATAAAACACCTCCCTCTCCCCATCTTTAAGGAGCAGCCTCATGTAGGGAATGAACCTTATAGTCCAACCCTGCCTTAGCTTTTGGTTGTCACAAACCTTTGTGATTGTCCAAGCATTGTTTTCAGTGGCCCTCAGTAGTTGAGGGTGTACCAACATCTGTCAGTGTCCCAAAGGGGAGGAGTTCAATCAGCACCTAAACTCAGGCTGATTGGAAACCAGACCCTTAGGCAGTACCTTTTAGAGAATGACTATATAGTCATGACCATT